TTTTTTTTTTTTTTTTTTTTTTTTTTGATACCGGGGATCAAACTCAGGTCCTTGTGCTTGCCAGGCAGGCAGCGGGATCACCGAGCTATGTCCCTGGCCCTGTGCATATTAATTTTATACTTTGTAGATACAGTGATGGTGTAACAGGTCATTTGAGCCTGGTTAGTACTTGATCTGACCTTGCTTGGAAAGGACTCTGACAACACCTGATCTGATTCTCTCCTTGTACCCATGAAGGACTAGGATGCAGTGAGGCAAGGCAAAAGTGGGCCGAAGTTGTTTGACTCCATCATTTCAGGATCAGGAAGACACTGACTTCCTCTTGCTTTAGCACTCGTATGTGCTGCTCCCTCCATTGCCAGCCCTCTTGTCCCTCCTCTTCCCTCGGGTCCTTTTGCTGTGGTTGTCTCACCCCTGAAAGTGCCCTCCACCTTTGTACCAGGGATTGAATTTAGGACCTCGCGCTTGCCAGGCAGGCACTGTGATTCTAGCTGCTGCTTTGCAGCCTCCTGCAAGGTGATTTGGTTGGTATTTGTGCTTCCCATCAGACTCAGCTCCATGTGGGCTGGCTGAGCACTTTGCTCCCCACAGTGAGCACAGTGCCTGGATTCAGTGGATGCTCAGTAAACACTGAGTAATTGTTGTCTGGGGTCTTGGCCAGACTTCGTTGTCCTGACTCCAAGCACACGCCTCTTCTGTCTTTGTACTGCCAAGGTCTGGGTACTTCCAAGGATGCACTGTGGAGGCCCAGCAAATGGTTGTGTTGGGCCGTGAGCTCTCCGGTCTGTACATGGTCATGCAGCTGTGTTCTTTCACCTTAGGCCACTGGATGGGGAAGCCTGCCTCTCCCAGGTCCACGGCTGGGCTCCGCTGCAGGTGCTACACGGTGACAATGATGTCCTCTTTCCTGTCAGTGGAGTGGGGTCCTGTGGGTCCACAGGTGAGTGCTTCTGGATTTTTCTTCTCCTCCCATTGGAACTTTGGCTCTAAGAACCAGCAGGAGTGTCTGAGTTACTTGCACAGGCAGGGAGGTGCTTGTGGGGACCAAGAAGTAAGAGGGGTCGTGCATCTCTTCCTGAACTGGAGCATTTGAAGGTGCTCTCAGCTGACTGAATTAGGCTGTAGTAGCTGGCAAGACTCCAGGGAGCCCTCACCAGTGGCTTGTTGAGCTACATCTTGTCAAAACTGACCACAAATAGTGTCTTATTTGCCCTTTAGGAGTTAGGAGAAACCAACTGAAGTCCTGTCCATAAAGGCTCTGCCACCTTGTACAGAAAAGTGCTTGGGGCCCAGGAAGTAGGTCAGAGCTCATCTGCCTCTGCTTATGGGTCAGAGTTTCTGTGCCACTCCACATGGTTGGGCACACGTGTGTGTGGCTTCTTCCTGTTTCTTTAGCTAGAGAATGTCAGGGGGAGGTGTGGATGAGCCTGGCTCACACCCCAGGGTGGGTGTGCGGTGCTTCTGGCGCAGTGCCTGACGCAGAAGGGTTTGGTCACTGTCTGTCTCCTGTGCACTGTTAGCTCAGAGAGGTCTCAGTCCGCCTAGCTCAGGTGCCTTCTCATTTTCCTGGGAAACAAATGCTTCTTCTCTGAGCCTCATTAAGGAAATTGTGCCTGGGTCCCACCAGCTCCTTGAGAAGCCCAGGAGTTTTCTTCTGGAGGGTACGTTGTTGTTACTTGGTTAAGAGCAGAAGCCCTCTCACACTGGCTAGCCGAGAAGGGCCCTGGTGGGGTCAGACACAGTCCCAACCCTGGAAAGGTGAGGAGCTCGAGCTGGTGACGCTTCAGTGTCTGTAGTTCTGGGTAGGAAGCGGGCCGAGGAGAGCATGTTTGTGCGTGAGTCTGTGGTCTCAGGGACGTCATCTGGAAAGCAGGTGATGTGGTGAGAGTGACGGAAGTGTGTCCAGGGCTGTGAGGGGCTGGCTCCAGTTAGCTGGCCAACTCTCCCAACCAGCGGCCGTTGCTGCTGTGTGGCCTCCCTTCTGATTTGCAGCAGAGACTCCCTGAGTCACTGTGAAAGTGCCGGGCTCACGTGAGGCTGTGCTCAGGTGGCAGTGCTGTGAGAGATGTGTGTGGGTGTCCATGGTGCTGGCCTAGGCAGTGGGACAGAGAGGACTCTGGTGGGGAGATGTGCTGCTGTCCTCTCATTCCTGCTTCCCCACAGCCCTAGGGACTGTGCCATGGCCTCCAGTCCGCCATGTGCCCCTCTTCACCTGTACTTGGCTGACGGGCTTGCCCTGTCGTCTCGACCATGTGACCGTCTGTTCCAGCTGGAACCTCTCTGGGTCCCACTGAAGTCCCGGAGAGGGACAGTCCGGTGGCCTTGCTCCCGTCTGCAGGGCAGGCTGTAGGAGCCCTGCATCTCCAGACTGTCCTTGGTCCACACAGCCAGGAGTGGGGCACAGTCCTTGCCGTTGCGGGTCCCAGCAGTATCAGTGTGGACTGAGTGTCCGAGAGGGGACGTGGATTAGGAAGAGTGAGGGGCCCAGAGTGTGTCTGGCACCCGTGGAGAGTCATGAATGTTTGCTCAACACCTCTAGCTCAAGTTTCTGTTCTTGTTACCTGTCTTTGTTCCCCAATGAGCAGCCTTGTCGTCTGGCATACGGATGATTGCCGAGCTACATGCAGTAGGTAGTCTGTTTTGTTTCAAGAGGCTCCTTCATGTCTTAGGTGGCCCCTCTGAACCATCAGATGAAGACTGGTAGCTTTTGGGACTTTGCTTTTGCCATTCACACTGGGTCAGCATTCTGGGGTCTCTATAGACAAGCATCTCCAGGCCAGGTATTTCCTGGCTGGCCTGTCAGATCCTCCCAATGAGGTACCCTACCCTTCCCGGCAGATCTCCCGTCATCCTGCCTCTGGCTGCAGCCTTGCAGACCCACAGGCTCCATCTTGTCACTGTTGATGGAACCTCAGTTCCAGCTTTCCTTAACTCTGCTCAGCAGAAATGATGTGTAGGAGCCAATCTGCCACCTTTTAAATTTATTGCAGTCATAAAGCTGCCCAGAGTTTTGCAAGATTGTGACGGTCTAAGGGGCAAACCTGCTGTAGATAGGAGCCTTGCACAGGAAGATGTGATACTTGAGGGCTTCATGAAGATACTGGAATTGGATTTGGGGAAGTAGTTAAGTGATCGGGGTGCCAAGACTTGTCAAGTCCCTCCTAGCCGCATGCCCCACTTTTACAGGAGCATTTGGGCCAGGTGGGGTCAGCACGGCTCTTCCCTGGTGGGTCCTGCCAGCATTTTTTTCTGAGACTCCTTTTCTTTTGCTCTATTTCTGGCTGGTGTCCCTTCTGATTGACACTACCCTAATTTAGAGATGTTACTGTATTCTCCCTCATTCTTGCTGCACAGTCACTTTGTCCTTTAATGTGGCTTCGCACAGGAGAGAAGGAGACTCCTTGCCTCAGGAGATTTTTCAGTTGTTTTTGAAAATGTCTGCTTTTATAGTCACTGCCACTGGCGGTAGAGAAAAAGGGAGGGAGAAGGATAAAAAGGAAGAAAGGTCTGTGTGGGGGAGAATGGGTGTTCTTTGGAGCTAAATCTTAGGAGGGAGAAATAAGCCTGAAGGAAACCCTGAAAAAAATTGTTATCCTTCTGAATCTTGGGTGAGACAGCTGTGGGATTTAGGGGGGCTGCATGTGCTGGGTTAGTGAGTGAGTCAGCGCAAGGAGATACCACCCAGCGTCACTCCAGGAGACCTGGACAGGCAGATGGAGGGTTACACACGGGAGCAGCTCCTCTGGACATGTGTGTGAGCTACCATAGGGCAAAGTGAATTTTACCGGTATCTGTCTGAAGAGCTTCTAACATTTCTTCCCAGTGGGAATAATAAATGGAGGTGACAAAACAACCGTTGTTACTCATGTGAGATATAAGAAGGCATTGCTTGTCTTTTTACTGAGGGTTGGATTTTAGCAGATACACAGCTGATTTCCGAGGGCTGCCTTTCATTCATTTGCAGCCTCAGGTCTTCTAACCCTTTATTTTCCCAGTAGGTCTGAAGTTACCAACTTCTCATTGTCTTCCCTTTGGGCTTTGGAGTAGTTCATTGGGGCTGAGGAGGAATTTTGAGGCGCCACCATGACCCAATATGGTTGATTTTAGAGCTAGCTTTACCCTAGTGAATGCCAAGATAATCCTGGCAGAGCACTGCCTTGTGTGCGGTTCCTAGACCACTTCCAGGGGCCTGTGCCGCTTGGGCTTCATGATTTTCTTCTGTCATGCAGCCTCCCTGCTCTGTGCCAGCCATCGCACCAGGCTCTAGAGGATCCAGAGGTGAATCCCACTTTCACTCCTATGTGCATGCCAGGGAGCAACAGGGGACATTATTTTAGTAATCAGTGTAGAGGAACGAATGGTCCAAGCATGGTCTGAGTGCTTTCCTCACCCCGTTCTATCCAATTCACCATTATCTCTTTCTTGGGCTCTTGGAAAACAGTGCTGTCAGCAAGAACTAACAAATGGGATTGTATCAGTCTGAAAAGCTTCGGTCCAGCAAAAGAATCAGTAGAGTGAAGAAAAAACCTACAGAATGGGAAAAAAAATTTTGCCAGTTACTCCTCAGACAGAGGACTTAGATCTAGAATATATAAAAAACTCAAAACAATGAGATCATGTAAAATTAACAACCCAGTCAAGAAATGGACAAGCAAAATGAACAGATACTTCACAGAAAAAGAAGAACAAATGGCCAACAAGTATAAGAAAAAATATTCAGTATCTCGGGCCGTTAGAGGAGATGCAAATTAACACAGCACTAAGATTCCATCTTACTCCAGAAGGAGTGGCAGTCATTAAGGAATAAAAAAATCCCAGAGATTTAGCTCAGTGGTGCTGTGCCTGCCTTGCAAGTGCAAGATCCTGAGTTCAATACCTGGTACCAAAAAAACCAAAAAACCCAAACCAAAACAAAACAAAACAAAAAAACAGGAAAGGAAAGGAAAAATCAAAACAACAACAAAAACAAATGCTGGCACGGCTGTGGTGACCCTCCTACGTTGTTGGTGGTAGTATAAACTAATACAGGCATTGTGGAAATCATGTATGATTTCCTGTGGAGGCTTCCTAAAGCACTAAAATTAGAAATTCCGTATGTCCCACCTATCTCCCTGCTAAGATATCTTTCCCAAAGAGATTAAGACATCACAGCACTGCATGCGTAACAGCACAATTCATAATAGCTAAATCCTAGAAGCAGGCTTATACCCATCAACAGATGATTAGATAAAGAGATTATGGTATATGTAATAGAATAGAACACCACTTGTTATAGGACAAATTTGAGACATTTGTAGGAAAATGGATGCACCTGGAAAATGCAGTGTCGAGTGAAAGAAATCAGACACACAAGCTTGAATACCATGCGGTATCTCTCATATGAGTAAGGCACAGTACAAGCTGAGGAAAATAAAGGATAGAAGGAGACAAGGGGAGGGATCGGTAGCAGATGAGAAAGAAGGTGTCCATGGACTAAGGGCAAGGCGGGAGGGAGGGGACGGGACACAGGTAGAGTAAGAGATGCCAGGTTCAGGATCCCAATAGTCTCAGTGACTGTGGACATTTCATGCCGTATGCTAAGATTAATAATATCAATAAGTGTGAAAGGGTAAAGGGAATTAGAGGAGGAGAGAGGAAGGGGGAGGGAAGGGGATTAGAAAAAGAAATAAGCCATATTACATACACGTGATTGTAAAATGCATGTACTGCAAATGGGTACTAATAAATAAAGAAAACACATGGAAATAAAAGAAAGATTTATGAAAAAACAAAACCAAACAATGCTGTCAGCTTCTATCCTTGCCCCTTACCATTGTCCATTGTTTGTTTAGGAGCCAGAGTGAGTTTTAAGGACACAAACCAGATCACATCGTTCCCCTGCTCCCAAACCTTCTAGTGCACTTAGCATAAAAGTGCAATTTTCTCCGTGGCCGCCCAGGCCCCAGCTAATGCTGGCTGCCTCATTTCCTCCCATTTTCCCTTTGTCTGGTGCTCCCAGCCATATCAGGATGTGTCGAGGAGCAGGAGAGCAGCTCAGCTCAGCTGGACGAGAGCCCGTAGGAAGGGGGAAGGGCTCAGCTTGGCCATTGGGCAGGCCAGGGTTTGGATCCTTGCACTTTTTAACTCTGTGATCTTTCCAAGTCACTTAAATCCTCGAGGTCCATTTCCTCACCTATAAAATTAACCTAACAACAGTCCTTGTCTGCGGGCCCTTGAAGATGAGATGCTCTATCCTTTTTGTGATGTGGCAGGCATTAAAGCGTGACAGACACTGCTGTTAGCCCATTTCATAGGTGAGGAAACTGAGGCATGAAGAGGATGGGTAGCTTGTGAAATTAAAGTTGGGGAGCAGGGATGTGAGCCCCAGCAGTTGGGGAGAGCCTGTGCCCTGAAATTAATCTCAGTACTAGGTGGCATGGAGGAGGAGGCTGAAAAGTAGACACTTTATTTCCCCTTTGATTTCTTGAAAGAGAGGGAGTAGAAGCTTGGTGGGGCTGCCAAAGTAGAAGAAAAGGTTTCCAACTACCTTTTCCCCCTCTGAAGTTTCCCTCAAGCCCAGTCCCTTTGTCACGGGGAGTCTGGCACAGCTCCAGGCAGAAACTGGAGGTATAGTGCCGAGGAGGTTGTTGCTCCCGTCCTCTTTGTCTTCTGCGCTGGGCCTGCTTCTCCAGTGGATACGAACACTTGAGTTTCTTGAATGAGCAAGGGCTCCTACGCCCAGCCCAAGGCTCACAAGACTGTAATTTTTCCTGAAAGGAGATTCGAGCAGCTGCTAATGTGTTTATGAGAATCGTTGACGTCTCTTGCCTGTTGGTTGTAGAGATTATTTATGACTTTCCTTCTTGGGAATGCCCTTTCCAAATGCCACTCACTCATACAGGGTAAGTGGCTTTTGTAGGAAGCGGCAGTCATGTTCTGTGATTAGACCATGGTGCCCTCTAGTGTCACTTATAGGAAGGAACAGTTCGTCTAACAGCCGTGTATTCTGATTCTGAGGTTGGCTCTCAATGTGGACTTCATGCACAATTCCATGTGCTTCAAGGTCAAAGAAGTGACAGGATAAAAGGGACCTTCTATGAGCAACTGATGGTAGCCTGAGTCTGCAAAAATGAAATGGGCAAATTAAAATCTAGTGCGCAGGTGGGAAAAATTTCTAAGTTAGCTGATACAGCACAACACATGACTAGGCGAAAATGGAATTGAAATAACCTGACCGTCTGTCTGTGCTTGTTCTCTGTGCACAGGTGTGGCCCTGGGTAGCCTGGAGAATGGGACGGGACTGAACGACCACGTTCTGGCAGGGCCTGGCCTTCGGTACAGGTTAGTATTAATGGGCCAAATTGCCTTTGCGATTGAAATGTACTATTAACAACTTGGATTCTATCCTTTTTTCAAGATAGGGGCATAAGGCAAGGCTTTACTTCACATTTATATTCGGATTTAATGGGCAGTTGCCAAGGGTCTTAGATTATCTTTTTCCTCAGTCACTATGTAAGAGACAGTGTGGGCCAAATCTCATTTGCATACTTCATTTTTTCTGACACTTTTTGATCTATGACTATTTTTTGTGTCACTACTTTCTTAAATATTTGTTAGTATTTGGCTCAGTAGTTCCACTGCCTGCCTTGCAAGCTCGAGGACTTGAGTTTGATACCCAGCACCAAAAAAAAATTTTTGTTAGTATTTGATAATATTTAACAATACTAATTTTATATATAATATTTAGGTCACTTAGATATTATATAGTTGTGTTTAGTATGCTGTCTAGCATATAGCAAGCATAAAAAAGTTTCTTTTTTTTCCCCCTTGAAATAAAAGGATCTCGGTAATCTGAGTTGCCTCAAGTCGTTGGATGTTTGGTGGCAGAACAAAGATGGACAGCAAGGCGTCCCTGATGTCACCGCCGTCCTTGTCAATTTTACTGTTTTTTTTTTTCCCTTTCCTCTCCATGATTTTCATTTGATGTCCATGTATATAACCCATCTGTGTTTTCAAGTTTAACTCCTGGGTGGGGGCTCCTGCCTGCCCCAAGCCACACATAGGGTCCTGAAATCACCCAGAATAGACAGGGTTCTGGAATGTTCCCGCCCAGAGGCAGCTGATAGCACTTAGTCTGGTGTCAGGAAGGATGGTGCCATCAATCCTTCCAGGGCTCTGAGTCCTTTTCTGCTATTTTAGCAAATTTGCAAAATATAACAGTGGATGAAAAATATTACTATTAACCCCAACTCCATGACCTTGAAGATGTTTAGTTGCTTTTCCCTCAATTCTGTGTGTGCATGTGCACGCACATGCCACAGGATGGTCTTGCTATTTTCATAAAAGATGTTATTATATTTCTCCATGTTGAAATTTGATTATAAGTGTATAGTTCCCATTTGTATTAGCTATATCCTAAGTTGCTGTGAATACTGTGTCTTGTTCAAGGGAAAATGTGAGGTACTGTGAGCCTCTGGTTCTGACATTTTTACCACTTGATCAGTGGATGGTGTGGTCTTCTGTCTGTTCCAATTTAAAGATACTGCATGTAATATCTGTTGTTGATTCATTAGCATTAAATTCATGGCCAGTGGCACTGTAACTCATACCCAAATGAAGCTTATCTAACACATTTCTGCCCAGGGCACATGACATCCTTTTTGCTTTAGGAGCATGAGATAGTAGTATACTTAGAGGCCATGTTATACAACAAAAAGACCAGTAAAAGAACACAAGAATATGAAAGATGTGACACTGCATAGAACTGTGAAAAGTAACTTGTTTATAGTTATAAGAGCAGAAGTAAGAAGGTGGATTGTCACTTTGTTTGACCTTAGCTAGGACATAAAAGTTGGTGACTTACATTTTTGGCTTATAAGTGACTTGTGAAGGTGCTCTGTGAGTATGGATTTGGGCTTACACATACAAAGTATGGTTGAAGAATGTGGTGACTATTTCAGTGAAAAAATAATTACAGAAAAAGACACATTGCCATTAATCCTCCTCAAAATACCCCCCTCCCGAACACATTTATCTCATCATTCTTGGCAATGTGTTTTTTACTATAATAAGTTAAAACATTTTAAAAACATTTTAAACAGTCACTGCATTTTTGATCACCCTTTATAAATTTCAGAGAGTAGATAAATTTGCATATGTGGAATCTTCACGTAATGAGAACTGACTAATTTCATATGGCTGCTTTCTGTCCTTGCCAGTAGGTAACTGAATAAACATACCTCCTGCTAGTGTTTTGTTTGTTTTTTTTTTTGTTGTTGTTGTTTTTTGAGACAGGGTCTCACTATGTAGTTGAGATTGACCTATAACTCACTATGCAGCCCACGCTGGTCTCGAACTCACAGTGGTCCTCCTGCCTCAGCCTCCCAAGTGCTGGGATTACAGGCGTGCGCCACCATGCCCGGCATTCCTGCTAGTGTTTTGAATGGCAAAGTTTTACATTTTAAGCGACTGAGTGTAAATTCCCTCTGCCTGCTTTTTCCTAGTGTGGAAGCCAGTTCTCCAGGACAAGGAAGTCCTCTAACCAACCTGTTACCTTCTGCCTCAGTGCCAGAGTCAATGACAATCAGTAAGTGCTTCCTGAGCCATCTCCACCAGTAGTGGCATGACTGTGGGCCTGTGTGTGCTCCTCCATGACTGTGGGTGTTGCAAAACGTGGGGCAGAGTGCGCAGGTGTGTACCTGGCTGTGGACTCGAAGCGCGCAGCACGTAAGCCTTTGGAACCCTGGTTAACCCATGGCCCCTGGACTGTGCATCCTCTCCAGGACAGCGTGGGGTAGAGCTGGAAGGGAAGCTCCTTCGCCTCATGGTTTCAGGAGCTGTTTTCTGTACAAGGCAGTGAGGCACAGAGGCCGTTGTGGTTGCATTTCCTTTGTAATGTCGGAGGGATCATTTTTGCGAGTAGGGAAGAGGTGTTTCTCCAAGGTGATGAAATGTTGTTTATAATCAGGCTTTCAGCTTTAGCACCTAGAAAAAATATCAGAAACATAGCCATTTAAGAGCAGGTTTGAATGACTTTAAATAACAAAGAGTAAACCAGTTGTGTCTTAACAGGGTAGAAACTCATCTTTTCCAGAGGTATGCGGCTGGGCTGGTATGTGGCTCCGTGGCCATGAGGGTTCCTCATGCCTTACCCCAAAGATGAGAATAGCTGCTTTAGCTCCAGCTATTCCATTTTCCTCCCAGGTAGCAGGAAGGAAGAAGGACAAAGGAGATATTTTCTCTGTTTACATAGAGGATTCAGGGATTTGAATATGGCCACAGTGAAAATGCTAACTTTTTCATCAGTCTGTGATTGAAGTTTAGTATTTGCTTCATTTATGAAAGTAGCTGCAAGCTTTAGAAACCGCAGTAGTGATGGTGAACCTGTATCAACCATGTTAGGGAAACACATCGAATGTCATTTCTGCTTGGAAATATGGTGCTTACTTCATGTGATGTAGAAACCTGTATTTTACTATGTTTCTTACCATGTGGATCATTCTATTTCAATATAATTGGATTCCATTGTAGACTTACAGATTTTATGTATTTTGAATTTTTTTTTTTTTTTTTTTTTTCCCGGAAAGGAATACCATGGGCATCTTCAGACTGTAGAACAGGCCCCTGGTAAACAAAAGCCGAAGCCCCAGCTCTAAGGACCCCATGCAGAAGGTGCCCCCAGTATCCCATTTATATGTCTCTAGCTGACATTAGTCTGTGGCCTCCCCTGGCTGCAAAAGAGGAAAAGCATTCCTGCCTCCCCTATGTCTTCATTGCTAAGGAAAGAAAACTAGGGTTTGGGGGCACCAGCATTTGCAATTCAAGGGTGACACTTGGGGATGAGTGGATGCTGTGAGGCTGGGGTGACAGAATGACCAGCTCACTCTGTGCGGTGAGCAGGCTGGTTTACTAAGGTGCTCTCAGCCTGGAGTTCGGCTGAGCAGATATTTCTGGACCACCCAGTGTGGGGGACTGGAGTGGGCGAATATATAGGTTGCTGACATTTTTCAAATTTCGATCATTTGTTTACCATTTTACTGTTATTTACCCTGTATTGTTTTTATACTTGAAACAAATTCGAGTTTTTTTTTCTTTAAAAGGGAAGCCTTATTGTCATGATTATAAATAGAGAACTGCTATTAGTTGACTTAAATAGCAGGTCACTGTATTTAGCTCAGCGGTACTGCTGCCTACCTCACAAGCGCAAGGACCGGAGTTCAATCCCCAGTACCCCCCCTCTAAAAAAAAAAAAACCAAATGGACAAACAACAAACCACCAAAAAATAAAGGCAATGAAAGAAGTGTTACTAAATTGACCTGGTTGCTGTCTCAGGTTCTGAGACCCTTCTTGCTGTTCAGAAAGAGATGGGGTACAGCTTCTGTGTTTTGCCACAGGGAGGGCAAGTGTCATCAGCTTCACACTGCCAGGCAGCTCTGTAGCCTCCCAAGAGCCAGAAATGGTGTGATAAACAGAACGAGAGACCATCTGGGCACGAGCACCAGCCCTTTTGGAGATGCTTCTCATGCAAAGGGTAGAGAGCTAGAAAAAGTCCGGGTTGAGGCAAAACGTCAGATTCCACCATTAGCAGATGTGTAGGGGCCTACTGATCAAGAATGGCAGGAAAATCACTGCCTTTGTATGCAGGGATGGTTTTACTGAGGAGAACAGTAAGTCGGAGTTGTTGGATTTGGTTGCAAAGGTCATACTGCTGACGACATTCTTGGAGTCTGCTTCAAGGCAGCAAAGTAACCAGCACCTTTCATTTGGCCCTGTACAAAGGCAAGAAGGAAAGACTAAGATCATAAATCTTGATGGTGAAAATGTAATAGTATCAATAAAGTTTTATGCCCCCCTCCCTGCCCCACATGGAGACAGGTGAATAAGAATTAGGAAGATGCTGGGCTGGGGATTTAGCCCAGTGGTTGCAGCGCCTTCCTTGCAAGTGTGAGGTCCTGAGTTTGATCCCTAGTACCCCTCCCACCAAAAAAATTAGGAAGATGCTGAAGATATCCTAGTGCTAAACCCAAGTATTTGTCTTGGGAGTAATGGAGAGGATGGGAGAGGGAAATAACGGTCTGTGACTCGGTATTATTTGATGCCCTTTCTCTCGCACCTCTGATTCTGTCTATGTGAGGTGCCATCTTGGTGGGTGGATGAGATTTGATTTTGACTCAAGGTAGCTGCTCTAAAGACGCCAGTTTTTGCCTTACATGCATTTTTCTAAAAGGATAGTAGCCCCCAGGATGGTAGTGATGGCTTTGTGGACACCTTGTCTGGGTGCCGTTTGCAGGGCTGCATATATCTCTGTGGCATGCAGGCACCGAGCGCTGCGCGCTGTGGGATGAGTCCCTACATTTCAGTCCTCACATCTAAAGGACAGGGTTCCTTGACAGTTGCTGTAAGTCGCTGGTCCTCCCTGGGGTGCTGTCTGTCTTTGAGGAAGTTGCCGGCCAGCTTGTGCATTTTCACCGAGCATACTCCTCCAGACATTCTCCAGTGATGTAAAGCATTGTACTTGTTCTCACTTACACAGTTTCTAGAAATTAAATTGAGTTTTATTTATCGTTTGTAATCTTTGGCAATTAGGGACATACCCAGAGTTTACACCTGGAACCTCTTTTTTTTTTCTTTTTATTGAGTTTATTGGTACAATCTAGGTATACAGTACAGTTCATTCAGCATTGGGGTTCTGTACCTTTACATAATAGGTCTTGATTCTCATTTTTCCCCTTGTCCCTGCCCTCCCTTCCCCCCCTCCTCCCCTCCCCATTTACAAACACTTTATTTCCATTTTTTCAGTTTCTCATATTTTTTTTCCTCTCCCTTATTACCTTTCCCCCACCCTTCCCACTTTCCCTACACCTTTAGCCCTTTACTTCCTATTTCACATTATTAATTATCTCATTAGGATCCTGTGTACTATTATAGTTTTTCACACCAAAGAAACTATTCTGTATTTCAGTTAAAGAAATCTCTGTATGAACATTAAAAATAGGGAATCTTAAAATAAAACTAAAAAGGAAAGTAAAAGAGAAAAGGCAATGATGTAACATTAAAATAATCCTTATTTCCGGAGATGAAAATGGTCCCTGAACATATTTAAATTGCTTCTTGCTCTTATAGTCTTATCTTATTCTTTTTTTTCATTATTTAGAGAATACTTTATTAGTTTCTGTAATCAAACCCACATAGATATGACCTTCCATATTTAGTACGATGTGTTACCCCTGTATACATGGGAAAAAATAAAAATAAAAAAATTAACATTTCTAGACCAATATGGCTGTCCATTTCTGTACAATGCCAACTCAACACAGTAAATTGGGAGGACTTTTTCCAAAATTGGTAGCACTGTTAAAGTTTCCCAAAATTCAATTTATATGTATATGTATATATATATTTATATTTATATAAAAAGACTAATAGTAGCAGTATGTAATGCATCGATAGCAGCAACAGCTTTTCCAGGTTCTGCAGTCATCTGAACAAAATTATAGACATTCAGCACATTCCATTAAAAAAACCAAAGCAAAACAAAACAAAGCAAAAAGAAACAAAGAAAAGAATAATGTCCAGAAAACAGCAAAGTTCTGTTGCTGTTGTGGTACCTGGCACCATTTTTTTTATTAGCATCTTAATCATCATCTGGAAAGAGAACATTCTAGAGTAATATCATTAAATGTAGCTCTGATAAAGCACGGTCCCTACTATGTATCATAAAGCAGGTATAAGAATTTTACATTCATAGAGGTATGATACAGTACCGTCCTACATCAATAATACTAAAATCAGTTTTTGTTTGAAATTTACTTTGTCTGCAAATAAGATTGCTGCCCCTGTTTTTTTCTGGGCTCCTGTCCCATGGAGAATTGTTTTCTATCTTTTCACTTTCAGTCTATGGGCTTCTTTTTGCACTAGGTGTGTTTCTTGTGTACAACATATTGTTGGATTTTGCTTCTTATTCCATTTTGCCAGTCCATTTCTCTTGATTGGTGAGTTGAGGCCATTGACATTGCTGGTTATAACTGATATGTACTGACTTATTATTGACATGTTATTCTCCTTTTGTTGACTCTTATTTTCACCTTCTCCTTTTAACTTCTTGCCTTGCCTATTTGATTTGCTCTGTTGGACCTCATGGTGTTGTTGCCTTCATTGTCTTTTTCTAGGATCTTGTTTAGAATTGCTTGTAGTGCTGGTTTGGTATTCATGCAGTTTCTCAGGTGTTCTTTGTCGTGGAAGTGTCTTATTTCCCCATCCATTTTGAAAGAGAGTTTTGCAGGATACATCAGTCTAGGTTGGAGGTTGTTCTCTTTTAGTACTTGAAATATCTCATTCCAGGCTCTCCTTGCCCCAAGGGTTTGTGTTGAAAAGTCTGCTTTGATTCTGATGGGCTTTCCTTTATATGTGATTTGTTTCTTTTCCCTTACTGCTTGTAGTATTTTGTTCTTCTGTTGGGTTTCTGGGATCTTGATTATTATATGTCTAGGTGTAGATTTTTTTTGATTGTAGCTAGTTGGGGTCCTA